AAGCTTCCCAACGGGGTCGTTATTGAGGGATTTTATAGATCCCTTAGGGATCTATAAAAGTTTGAGAGGGAGTCGATAAAACTTTGCAAATATAAAAAAACATTTAATATTTTTTTCCCTTAAAATAAATTTAGCAAGATGCCTTTTAAAAATTATGTAGAAGGGATGTTGCATATACAGTACTGTAAAGTATATGTAACACTCCTTTTACACAATTTTTAACAATAACGTATATTGAAGGGAATAAGGAAAAAATTTCTCTTAAAAAGGGTCGATACATAAAAAAGCTTTAGGAATCCCTGGTTTAGGCGAATAAATAATAATATTTATTTCAATCGAGAGGTTTAGATTTTATTTGAATGATACAGAATCTAAAATATAACCTATATAGGCTTATATTTGCTACCAAATGAAACATTGGTTTTCAGTGAGAAGAAGTTTATCATGTAATATGAATTATACTCAAGATAAAAGATTTAAAATATTTTTAAAAAAATGCATTTTCCTTCATTAAACAATGCATTTACAGTAAGTATATTTCTTCAATAAAACTGCCTCGTTGTTTTCGGTTTCAGATAAATTCTCATTCAAATGTTCTAATGCTTATTTTTCTCATGGTTGCGTGTTATTAATAATAATGTTCGTGATAACTTAAATTGTTATTCGATTATTTAGATCCGATAACAGATATTGAATATGTCTTCTGCAGCAAATCCAATTTAACTATTATTTAAATTACAGTTCCTGTGGTTGTGCCATAGCATATATGAAAATTAATATAAATTGTCTTTTCTTTTTAATAATAATAGGTTTGAAGAGTGAGTTTAGAATCAATGGATTTTAAAAAGTTCAGAATTATGTTAGCTACATCTATTAATTTCTCAAAAATATATAATGTATGTATATTACCCTCTGCTATACATAGATTAATCTATGTATGAGCAGAGGGTAATATAATATATGAGCAGAGAGTCTATATATACATTAGAGATATCTCTAAATAGTTTTATGTGTAATTTTTCTAAGAAAAGAGAGAGGAAAAAAAAAAGAAAAATTGCATATAAAGATACATATCATAGATTAATCTATGGCATATATAATCATATTCATTGTTCACAGATGCTAGGGCCAATTGGGTGCAATCAGCCTTCGCGCTCTGGAAGAGATCCATGCCAGTGTCGGGAAAGGAAGGTGAGGGAAGGGAGGAAATTTTAATTGTAAAGAGGAAACTGTTATCCTATTTAGTCAGAACTAAATATTTTTAATGGTAGCAACACTGAATGGCCTGATTTGTACAGTAGCCTACATATAAGCTAAATAAGCTGCAGCCTCGCGTTATCAGTCTGTAGCTTAGGGCCTCATATTTTTTTTAAATTTATCATTTTATTTGGTATAGGAGAAGGGCCTTTTATACGCCATAGCTTAGGGCCGTAACAGATCCAAGTCCTGATGATGATAATATCATTTATTTACCGATAACTTTTATANATGTGTAAAACATTAAACAAAATATCATTACAGGTATTCTACTTTATATGCAAGATATTTTATAAACTATATTTTAAAATATATCTAAAAACTTATATAAATTTAAAATAATGAAAGTATATCTAACTAAATATCATACTCAGCTCTTTAAAATAGTTTAAAATAAATGTTAAGTTAAAATACGTTCGAATTTCAGTTACATCTGAAGATGGCCTATCATATTGGGTCAAAAATGTTAATGTTTGTTTAATTAATAAATATTTCTCAGCATCAGGTGTTTGAAGATTCATTAAGTATAAAAGTGTATCATTGAAACTATCCTTTTGTGGCAATTTATTGCCATTTATTGTTTTTTCTTTTTGATTCAACATTCTTATCCTATAGTTTTTCTTTGTTATGTAGTTCCATTGTTCTAAATTTACTTTATTCCAGGTATGCTTTCTTTGTTTAGAGGAGTAACTGGATTGCTGGTTGCTAATTATGTTCTATGCTAAGATGATTAAGCATAAGAGTGTACAGGAGAGTATTCTAGGAGTTTTCCTGAGATATGGGAAGTTATGATTGGACAGTGCAAAAGTGTTTGGGATTGTGTGTTATGGGACATTCAAGAAAGTAAAGAACAGTTTGTTTTTGTATCAACCAATATATAAACAAGAAATAAATCTTGCAATATTCAAAACTACTTTGGATACAGAATATCTATGCTGGCAATGGAAGTCTATACATCGAGCAGAACACGCTCAAAAAGCCAGTTTTAGTATCACTTATAATTTGGCTTTTTCTGTGACTTGTAAGAATATAAATTTTAGAAGAAAGGACTCTTTTTTCTTAAAGGTTTTGAATTAGTAACCAGCCATCTTATTTCAGATCTGTTTCTTAAGTTTTCATTTGAAATTTTCTTTCTCCAATTTTTCCTTGGTTTCTTTTTGCATCACATGAAACCTTAAACACTTTTCCTGATGAAAGTATTTAAGATTCATTGCATGTTATAGGATCATGTGATGTCTTGTATTATTATTCATTACATTGTTTCTCATTTGATTTTAAAAATATAATGATCAGTTACTGCACATTCTGGTTTTTTATAATTACAAGAAACTAAATCTATAGTTGCCTCTGTTTAATAGTGTTCAAGAAGACAATGCTTCTTGTAATACTAATTTTCTTGAATAGTTTTCATACCTTGTTGTGTGATGTGTGTACTATATAAATTTTGTAATATATATATATATATATATGTTACTGTGAGAGACCGAAATTAGAGAATGCCGATATTCTCTGGTGAATGTTGACACATACAAAATACATCAATGAAAGACCGAATATTTGGTTATATTCAGTGGTGATATTCGAAATATTTAACAAAGGGTTCGCTAACAGAAAATTTTTCCTTATCAATTTTTTTTTCGCTCAAATGGTGCATTAGCAACATTAGCGCAAAAACTGATCTTAAGATACCCATATAAATAAAAAAGATGCATTCACAAAATTAAGTCAGTTAAAATTTAACATTGTGTATGCCAGAACTATATTTTTTTATAAATAATAAAAAAAAATAATAACATATTTTAATATTTTTCATTCAAAATATTTTATAAACATAAAAATTGGCTTTTTTTAATCAGAAAAAGTCATAGGGAAAGCAGTTAAACAAGAAAAACTTTTCTAAATGATTTATTTTATCATTAGGTATTATTATAATAATAGACAGATATCATCGTCTCTCGAAATACAATATCTTTCTTATCTTGCTGTCGATAGCCCAACACGTGTTCCGCAGCCATCTTGTATTTTCTTGCGTGCGTGGGATTGTGGGATCTCTCTTATGACTGGATCTAGTTTCGAGAACTCTCTTGAGTCGATCGCGATTGAACCTCGTTTTAGTCAAGATTGAAACGGTCGATGGAGGTTGCACTAGGCAAACAGGATATAAGGCTCTAGTTTAGTAGTGTTACAGAGTATAATACGTATATTTTAATATATTTTTTAAAATAAACAAAACCACTGAGAAATGTTACGTGTGTTTAACAACGAGTTCGGAAAACTTTGAAAATGTTAACAACGGGTTCGGCCGAACCTGTGCGAACCCGCTGAATATCACCACTGGTTATATTATTATACATTTGAAAAATTGCCGGTGTATGTTGACAAGCACAGATAACTTTTGGTGGAGGTCAAAATGACACCCAAGAAGCCGATGTCGACAGAGAGACGACAGTCTGTTGACAAAACCTTTGTGGGTAGCCGGAGGTAGGACAAAGTCGTACCTCTTTTCCATGCAACGGTTTGGTGGAAACCACCCACTTTGTCACTGGATGGCATTTTTGTTCTTCTGATCCCTTGAGGTGGAGATCGGTTTGTCAGGTCGAGTGGTGGAGGATGAGAGGGGTTGTTGGTAAGGGGTCGGCGATATCCGAATAAAAGACACATTAACCGATCAGTTCATAATTTGTAAAGAAAAGTTACTTTCCATAGATGAGATTTCTTCTCAAGAAATATCACTGAGAGAAGCAGTTGCAGCTAATTCGAAAAGTGGAGGGCAAGGCTATACACGTTGTCATTGCAAAAACAAGTGTTCCATGAATAAATTCAGTTGTAAAAGCAAGGGACTCTTGTGCAATTCAAAGTGCCATAACAGTTTAAGTTGTTGCAATAAATAAGATTGTATAACGTTAATCACAGAATTTATGTATAAGTTTATTATTGTATTATTTTCTTTAATGATTTAGAATGTACTGTTCGTTTTAGATTCAACAGTATATTTACATGTGCTGTTACTTAAGCTTTCTCATATTTTGACATATTAAAAAGGCGTGTTTTTGAAATACATAATAAAGATATTTTTATTCAACATTCACCATCAGTGCATGCTGAATGTTGACATTTGCCGGTGTAAGTGAGAAATAATGATATTTAGCAAATATTTCATACATACACAAAACGACTGGGAATGCTGACATTCATCAGAGAATGTTGACATTCGCCAGATATCGGTCATTCACAGTAACATATATATATATCCTGTTAAATAAAAAGTTTTTGCAATTTATTACATATATAATGTGTTAAATTACTAAAACACTCCTCCAAAAGAAAAATCCCACACTATATTGTAGATAAGTAGATAATATAAAATTCAATAAAAAATCTGCAATGGGATTTCATCTGAATTTTATAATTCTATTTATTATACTTATCTTCTCATTTTAAAATGAAGGAAAATAAATAAACTAAACAGTAACTAGATGTTTTCTGCTAAGACAAATAAATGTATTTTTTATGAAATATTATATATTTATTATCTGTAAAAAGAACAAACCCATACTTTACTTTGTCATTAAGAAATTTAATATTTTAAAATAACAACAAGTTTCTGTTTTGGAGTTATCATCAAAGAATAAAGTGTTGATTCTGCTTTATTTATATCGACATAAAGATAAAATTTTAATTAAGTGGGATTAAATATAGCTTACATTCTAAAGTATTGACTTTTAAAATAAAAACAACTTTACCTCCGCCATTTCGATAACAAAGATATGGAAATCGCCATACGTTTCCAAGTCCAACAGAATATCCGAGGAGGGATAATAGGAAGTCAAATCTGCCTGTCCAGTTACCTCTTTCGACATTAAATCCATCATAATCACTTCCTCTTTCATCATAATCCCCTTCACCTTTTGGAGATAGCGGAACTTGGCTGCTTACACGCGGAAAATCTTTTTCCAAATCACTCTGAAAAGAAAAATCATAAAGTAATAAACAATATAAATAATATCTAAAATAAATAATTACAGTTAAGTCAGTTTTATATGCATGCCTAAATAAATTCAAAAACATACAATACTTAAATCATATCTAAACATATAGTTTTTACATTTTAAAAATATAGTATATTTACAATATTTTAAAACTTAAAAAATATAATAAACTGAAAATTTCTTATTGTACAAAAGAAAAATTATAGTTTTCAACATAAAATCTACTTAATAAAATATAAAAGTTTATTTTTGACCTAATTTTATATAGTAAATAACACAGTTTTATATATATAGTGATTTCAAGGTAAGGAAAAATCCATAAAGTTCTATTTTATGAAATTATGTCCTAAATATTCTAGATTTTTTATTTTGATTAAATTATATCTAAAAATTTAATCTCCCATACATTATGATTAAAAGTTTCATATAACTTTTATAATCTTTTTATTCATTATAATTTAATTGAAATGAACATAAAAATATGTAAATATATTAACTATTTAAAACAGAAGAATAAAACAATATAGTAAAGATTAGGGGTTTATTTACTACAAAGTCTATGAAGATTAGGAAATATGATGTTTTGATTATTATAAATTGAAACAATATTCTCATTCCCATATTATCTTTGTCTGTAATTAAACTAAACACTGTGTAGTCATATCTCTCTACTAATGTAGTATAATTTAATAAAACATTAATGTATGACCATAGTAACTATATACACACATACATATATATACTCAATAATCTGAACTATTTCCAAGAATCTAATTCAAATTAATTACAAATTATTTGAAATAAATAGGTAATTAAATAATTTTAATTATTTGTTAATTATTGACCATGCAGAACATAAAGTTAGAACTCTAATGGCTTAAATACAAGATAGTAATATTTGAATTATATCACAATTTGGTAGTTATATTTGTCACCAATTTTTACATCACATTTCTACTCCAGGAAAACAGATCTGATTTAAATTTAAAACAAAATACATTATATAAAAAATATGTATGTATTATAAAGATACAAAATACTAAATATACAGGATTTCATTGTTGTTTTAAATATACACAAAGGTTTAATAATAATAAAAAGGTTATATAACTACCTCTTGCTAAGACAGCTACTAACAACAAATTACACACATGGTAAACAGAGACAACAGTTAAACCCCACATTACATTGATCAATTCCTTTCTCCAGATGACTTCTCACATTACAAGAAGGGCTAAGCAATGTTGGCTCAGCAGTCAGAGCACAACAGTCAAAGTTTAAAATCTTAGAATTAAAACTTAAACTCACTCATAAATACAGTACCAGACTTATGGGGCTCCAAGGTGAGGCATTCAATGCACACGCGTGTGCATTGGTGTTCTCATAAAAAATACCATACTCTGATTACAAAAATACTATATTTAAAATAAAATTACTGTATATAAAAATTTAATTTTGAATAAAATAATATTTATTACATTTACAGTAATTGTTTTTTATTTTATGACATAATTTAATCACTTTTAAAGATCTAAAATACAATTAATTCAGTAATTAATGTTATCTTCCATCAAATTATAACATAAACTATAATAAAATTATTGGCATTTTTTATTTATTTATTGAAATAACCAATATAATTTATTTGATACAAATTTTCTATACTTTTCTTGTTGCATGGCTTACTGTTAAATATTTGATAAATATTTCTTGCTTCAGCAATTGAATACTGATTTCTCAAATTGTTTCTTTATTACCACAAAGGAGCATGTGAAGATCAATTCTGCTCAAGAGTTATTTTTTGAAAAACTATTCACAGATTTATTTACATTATGAGAAAACTGATAATATATACTTTAATGAAAAACCAGTCTTATACACAATGTACAAATGTACAGTACTTTTTTATTTTACAGAACATGAGAAAAAATCATATTATTATAGTATGTTTGTAATGTATACAGAACTAAAGAATTGCTTATAACAAATATTTTCAATGCAGTGGCAAAATAAATTAATGCTCAATATGGAATTTAAATAATAACTTCTCTGTAATATCACAGAAAAATTAAATAGTATCTAATGAGACTGTTATTTAAGCAGTGCATGTTACATTATGACATTCATATAAATTATAAAGGTACTGCATTAATAAATACTTCATAAGATCATTAAATATAAATATAACAGAATTATTGTATGAATGGTATTCCTAATGTGCACACACAAAGTCATTTATACGATGATTATTTATAATATTTCAGTTCATATACAAGACATGTATTGTACATATAAAGCATAATCATAATATTAAATAAATAAAAAGCATATTAAATAAAAGCAAAATAAATAAAGCTAAAGCTAAATTAAAAGCATATTCAACTATCAATTAATTACTGTTTAATATTTCCCAGAGTGAATGTTTTTGAGAAGAGCAGATTTCTTTTGCAAAACATCATGGAATTTGTCACGACATATCAATATTGCATTTAACAATTAGCAAATTCTTTTTAATGTCTGCTTTTTTATTTGCTTTTTTAGCACTTCACAAAATGTTTATAATAGAAAAAAATTCTTTCTGTTGATGCATTTATACTTGACAAGTATAATGTAAACTCTATCAGAAGTTCAGAATTTTCAAAAGTCTTATGGTTTCTCTAAAAATGTTCAAAGCCTATATCCAACAACAATCAACAATTATCAACAAACACTTTATTTACATTCTATTCATTTATCTTTTCATGTGTAGCAAATTGTCAGACTTAGCATATTTCATCAAAAAGATCATCATTGTTCAATTTGTTAGGGCCATCCACTAATAACATATACAGTTTTTGAACCACTTTTGAACCCTCCAAGAAATAAAAAGTTCTGCAAATATTTTCTAACAGTTTATTCATATGATTAGTAAGTAGACTTATAACAAATTCATATGTACAGTAAATATGGGTGTACAGTAAATATGGGAGATGTCTTCCGAAAAAGCAATCACAATGATTTTACCAGTTTATTTGAATCTGATATCAACAAATTCAATACAGTCCAGCTAAAACTCCCCTCAAACCAATTGCACCATCACTCTAAATATTTGGCACATTTCACAAAACTCTATTGTACACAATTCGACGATCTCCATATCATTTTCTCGTCAATGGCATTAGTCTATTCCAAACAGCCATGGACAGAAATCTTTGACTTCATTCTTTCTCTATTCTTCAAATGACAGTCTCTTAAGGTCTTATACACCTCAACAAACATTACAGTTTGACTCTCAATTTGAAGACTTTCTCTTTGAAACATGCACAATTACATACAAAGTGTAGCCACAGTTCTGAACACAGATCTTCAAAAAACTTTTCAACATAACAGGACACAATTCTAATAACAGGAAACATACTTTTAGCTCATTCAGGATATATATTTTCAAAATTCTTTTGCTGTTGATATCAGGTTCAAATTTCTAGTTTTACTGTAAATAATTTCTGATATTCTCCCAAAACAAAGGCACAATGTTCTTGTAATGCAACCCTCATTGTATATATATAAAAATATATACTAGTATATATTTTATGAACAACCAATTCAATATCAAAATACAAATATTTTACAGCCATCCAAATGGCATTATGCACAACTGGTCGTATTGAATAAAATATTAGCTGCAAAAATTGTTAAATTACAAATAAGCAGAGAAAGTAAATAAGCAAATAATTTACAAAAAAACATAGTTAATTAGAACCAATGAACCAGGCTTATTTTACTCATAGTGTATTTAATTAACCCATTCCAAGATGCATTTTGGTGTTACTGACCCTTTTCAATTGGATAACATACAAGAAACAGTCTATGGTGACTATTGCCAACATTACAATATACCTTAGAAGTACAATAATTACAAATTATTATTATAAGATATATTGTAATGTTGGCAATAGTCACCATAGACTGTTTCTTGTATGCTATCCAATTGAAAAGGGACAGTAACACCAAAATGCATCTTGGAATGAGTTAATTAAATACACTATGAGTATAATAAGCCTGGTTCATTGGTTCTAATTAACTGTTTTTTGTAAATTAGTAATACAGGAAAGCAGCAAATACTTATTTACATAAAATTTATTAATATAGGACATATAAAATTTCTCCGTATACGTTTTTTGTGTAAATACCTCTACAGTTAAGAATTCATTTTTGTATATAAATTAAGTCGAATTTAATCGAATGTAGACTTTGATTTCTTTCTCACTTTGGCGCCATTTTGTTCGAAAAAAATGACGTCAGTCCTTCCGACTAAAATTTAATTTACAATAATCTCTCTGTTAAGAACATAAAATTTAAAAAAAATAATCAGAAACTTATTTAAAAACGTAAATTCGAGAAGTTATTTTCAGAATTGTTTCTATATTGGACGGGGTAAGTTCAACAGAAGGAATGGCAAGTGGGAAAGTCACTACGGTGTTAGGATCGCTCCTCGATTCTTATTAAATTTAAGATTTAACTTATATAGGTATACATACGTACTGTACATACATATGTATACCTATAAATGTACTGTAGTACATCCAACTTCAAGGACTACATGATTCGGTGCATCTTTCAACTTAAAAAACATATTATTTGCACCTTTACTTTCAATTCCATCCAAAGTTTGGGTGTGCATTATCTATATAAAGCGCGAGAAATCTGTATGAAATTGATTTGTATAGAGCAGGGATGGCAAACCTTTTGAGTCCGCGTGTAATATACAATAGTAAGCATATTTATCTTTAAGAATGTTTATTCATGCCGAAGTTTTAGACTTCGAATAACGATATTCAAAGAAATTAAATTAATATGCTTTAATTAGAATAAATGTAAAAAAGCTGATTGTGAATGATCCGGTGAAAAACCGATAGGATGATTGGAAAAGACGGGCCATAAACTGAAACCGTATGATACCTTAGGTACCAGATGATTTCTCTTGAGTTGCCACTTTGGGCACGCGTGTCATAAGCTCGCCATCTGGTATATAGTCTTTCTGAGATATAATTGTATTAGATATCTGATGTCTTTACTCGTAAATTTTTTTACTTCGTGTATTTTTGCTCGAGTCTGTGATGAAAGCAAAAAATAAAAAAATGCAACCCAATATTTTTATGGGTCAAAGAATCGATAAACACAGAAGCAAAATGAACACTAACACTAATTTTGATTGTGTTAAAGCAAATGGCAAAAAAAAACAAAATAACGTTCCAATAATTGCATCAGTTTTGCTTCTAAAGCACGAAAATCTAATTGACCGTAACTCTAACCGTTAGTTAGAGCAATCTAAATTTTAGCCTAAATTTCATATCGACGATCTTAAAAAGTGCGGTTTGAACGTCTTCGGGAAACTACATTTACTTGGTTTTACTGAATAGACATCGTTTCATCAAAATACCTCCAGTTTTCAAAACTGGAGGACCCACCGACCTCTCCGGGGACAGCGGAACGGAAGTCATAAAAACGGAACGTCTGATCACCGTAGCATAAAAGATGTTGGCTCTCAATAGAGTATATAGTATCATAACCAAGATTATTTCTAAGAAGTAACAAGAAAAATTTACGCATTATGAACTGCGCGGCATTATCTATATCTATATCTATATCTATATATATATATATATGGACGTGTGTGTCCCTATATTTCACTTTTCCGCCAAAACTACACATCGCACGTGAATGGTGTTTGTATGTGGTAGTAGCCCCAAGTCTCCATTCGTGCACCAGGGGGTTGCGTCTCGATAGCTATAAGGGTGCGGGAGATACGGGCTTGAAAGTGGTTGAAAGTGGCTTTCTATTTCGAATGTTTTGTTCGAATTTGTTCGAACAATTCGAATATTGGTTCGATTATAGAACGATCGTAAACGTTCCAGAAACGTTGAAAATAGTTCGTTTGACTTGACGTGAACAGGAGACGTTCAGAAATAGAATCGGGACCAGGTCTCTAATTAGTCTGGAAACGGGGGACCTAATTCTTGCATTCTGTGAAAACGGGTAAGATTGGCTATAATGTAATTATCTTAATCTTCACTATCGTTGCTTTTTAAAAATCCAGCGAAGCGGGTCCTTGCAGCTAGTATTGTATAAAGAAACAAAAGTAATAGAATTAATGGAATAAAGCATCGTAACACGAGGGCAATCTTCCAAGGAGGGGTGCCTCCGGGAGGACTTTGTGGAAAACTGATCCTTCTTTACTGTTTAGACATGTAAAGAAAACTAGGAAAACTCAGCGTGGTCAGCCTATTGGTGAGGTGCCAATCCAGAAACAGTAGGCATATTCGGTGGTTTTATCCGTTCGGCCACCGGTGGGGACGAAAACAACAGGAATTAAAGTGGTTACGGTTACTCTAAATTCATATGTAGAAAAGTTTTAAAAGTAATTGAAGAACAGTTGAAAAATATTATACAAATTTTCGAATCAAAGTTTATTTAAACAATTTAAAATTAAGACTTATTTCTTTGCTCTTTCATATTGAAGTAATCAAAATTATTATTATTTAATTTATAAATTTGAATTTGGAAAATTTAAAAATTGAATTTTATTTATTTGTATTATCTAAAATTTGGATTTTTTTTTTTTTTTTTAAGTTTATGATAACACTTTAGTGTCTTGATATTCTTAACCAACTCTTATATGTTTTGAATTAATTTGGTTTAATAATTCAATTATGCAAATCGATCAAAATCATCAGAAGACCATCTGTAGTCAACACTTCCATATGCAATTATTATTTCAATCAAGTAAACTGTATATAAAATATAAGCTATTCTGAGCCTGACCGAAAAATATATATCAATGAATAAAAATATAGAAAAGTTTAACATATACAGTATTTTAGTTTCTAATGTATAATATAATAGATTTGATTATATTATTTTTAGGTAAAAATAATGCCATTAAGTTCTTTAGTTAAATATTTTATTTTTTGCAAAATATTTAAGTTAATTTAGAGAAAAATATTTAACAAATTAAATTTATTTTTAATATTTAATATAAAGAAAAAAACAACAAAATATTTAACAAAAATGAGTTTCCAGCTAAATAAACTGATTTTTTTTTCTTAAATATTAATCGATTATTAAAATTATAAAAAGAAACTTGATTATTACTTCGATTCTATAAATTGTAAAATTTGAGAATTTTCAATTAATTAAATAGTAGAAATTAACCTTTAAATTTGCTTTATTTTTAAAAATATAAAATTTGGTAAAATTTATATTTTTAAAAATTATATAGCCTATATTCAAACTGAGGAAGATAAGAAATGAGAAGTTTAAGTAGAGTATACAAGGTTTTAAACAGGGCCGCCCCTAGCTTTTGCGGGGCCCGGGACAAATCTGAAATTGCGGGGCCCTTTCTAAAAATAAACTAAGTATTAGTAAAAAAAACTAATAAACAAAATAATTAACGTTAACTTTCAAAAATTTATTTTAAAAAATTGCGGAAATATAAAACAAAGTGTAAAAAAATATATTTTTTTTAAGATTGTACAAAGTATGTTTGTTTTTATTTATTTTATTTTTATCTTAGTTTTTTTAAATAAACCTTTCGCACTATTTTATGAAATATTAATTTTGCGGGCTTTTATTTCAGCAAAATCTTATTAAATCATCCAATTTAATTTTTCACATATTTCGTGCTCAATAGATAAAAGTGTCAGATTTGTTAATCGTTCCTGTGACATTGTTGTCCGTAAATAATTTTTAATTAGTTTTAATTTAGAAAAACTTCGTTCTGTTGATGCTGTTGAAATCGGAATTGTTAATAATATTCTTAAACTAATGGCCAGATTTGGAAGAGTCGTGCATATATCTCAAGGAATCTGTTTCACTTTTTACACTAGAATCCTCTGTCACGTCATTTAATTCTTCTAATGCTGTTATAATTTGGTCTAAATCAATTCTAACTGTCTTCACAGAATTTATTCGGCATTCCCAACATGTATCTGATAATGGTTTTAGGGTTGAATTTGTTAAATGTTTCATTAAAATAGCCCACCTGTGAGCAGACGTGAAAAATAGTGTATACAGTCTTGAAAGTGTTCCAAAAAATGTCATAGCCATAGGAACCGAGGAAGTCATATCACCTATTAATAAATTCAACATGACATGGCAGAACATGACACAAAAAATGCTGTCGGATTTTTTTTTCCAAAATCCTTGCTTGCACGCTTTTTTTCTTGCCTACCATGTTAGCTCCATTGTTTTAAGCTTGTCCACGGCAATCGTCCAAAGAAATATTTAAAGTTTTAAGTTGTTACATAATTCCTCTGATAAATCAAACCCTGTACTTTTCGGCATAGGAGAAAAACCAATAAAATAATCATTATTTTCAACTTCATTTCGTTCTTGTTCGTCAGGCATTTCTACAATTCGAACAATGGGAGTCAATTGTTCAATAATACTTTTATCGATAGTACAGTCTAACTGTACTGCATAATATTTATTTTTTTATTATTTCATTTTTAACTTTGCCAACAGATTAATTATCTCATTTTGAATATTCCAACCTAAATAATGATCGTTTGTTTCTTTGTCTTTGATACGTCTTATAGCCTATGTTCTGCTATTCTTGCATCGAATGTTGAAATTAATTCTATTTAGCATCATTAAGTATCATAAATTTGTTCAATTGAAACATTTATAAGCTTACAATATGCTCAAGTGTATAAATGTTCTATGCAATGCTAACTACACTGACTTGGCGCCTAGTTTTGTTGTAGGTTACATACGGCTAACTTACAATTTATATTATAAAAACTATTTTTTTCTTTATTANTATTTATGTGGCTTTAAATAGCTTAAATTTTTGGTAGTAATAATAATATATCTACTTTAAATCGTATCGACATTCTACCTAAACCTTGTAATAACCTTGACCGATATACGGCGATCAAAATATAATCTGTTACTAATTTAACTCTTTAAACGCTTTTTTACAATGCAATTAATTGGGAATTTTTATCGATAAGGATAAAGAACGATCCATACTTACGTTCCAATCCAGATAAGGCTCTAACCTTATGGTTTCGGCTCTAGCATCGTCGTCATACAAGCTATCTTCATCAAAAGCAGCGCTGGGATTCTCCATAACACTTGAGTACGCCGTTTTGTTAAAGAGTTTTCGGCGGGGGACGCGTTTAGCGACCCCCAACGACTATAAACGTAAGCAACGATCACACTATATCCACCGACGCTTCTCAGTGTTGTTAAAGCCATTCTAGGCTAGACGCCATATTGTTACTTAAGCAGAAAGCAAATAAACTCTTCCTCTCTCTTTTTTTTATTTGTCTCGTATAACTCGATCAGAAATTTCTACAATCGAAATGTTGTCAGTTTGATATACTTAATACCCAGATATAACTGAGAAGGGAATTTTGTTGGGGATATTCTATCGTTGTCCGTGTTTCTTCAGTCGATCGGGCGCCTGTTTGGTGGCGCGCGCAACTAAACCACCCAAAATTCGATCGTTTCTGTGCATAACCTTCACCAATGGTAGTGTTTTTTATATTTGTATTTTTATGAAATTAAAATGAAACGACGCGTTTAATTTTCGTTCTCTAATGTCAATTATTTCGAATTAATTGAAAATTTAAAATAATTCGGTTAATTTTTATAAAACTAAATACGCTAATAAAAAATAATACAAATACAATAAGAAATAAATGTTTTAAGTATATATTTTTTAAAATCTTTCCCTGGAAAAAACCAGTTTCTTTTTCGGCTCGTAAGCATTTAATTACCATCATTTTTGATGCAATTCATTAATTTTAATTAAGATATTAGGATTTAAAAATGATAATTAAAACACTTTTAAATTAGTATTTTCCTAAATCAAAGGGAAATCTTCGATCATTGCATGATAAACCTTATTATTATTATTATTAAATACAAAATAAATAACAATTTAGCTTGCTTTAAAGGATGTTTTAAAATTAAATGCACAGTAACCTAACTGTCTGAAGATTAATTTGCTACGTTGTTAAATAGCGATAACGTAATCCTGTGACATGTATGCATTAATTTTAAAAATAAAAAAAAGCGTTAAACATTAAGGAATTAAAAATTAACCTATTTAAATTTACATAAATTTTAAAATATTATAAATATTATTTTCGGCAAGAATTCACAAATTCTCGACGTGATAAAGTAGAGACGTGACGTAAAAGATGCTGGACTGTTTCTATGGTAACGGTCGAGGTAAATAAACTCTTTCAATGGCAAATAATAGTAACCAATCAGAATGTAATTGCTGCAGATTGCATTTTAATAGTCTGTAAAATAAATTTCTTTTTGAAATTCTAAATATAATATTGCATATTTAAACTATTTTTCGAATTTTAAAATATAAATTTAAACTAAAATTTGCAAGTGTCGAAAGTGACAAAGCGACCAGGTGTAAGGTCAATATTTCGAGCCATTCGTAATTCTGATGCGGCAGGTAAAACTGTGAAAAAGTAGAAAACTTTAATACGTTATAATGATGTAATTCTTTGATTAAAACGAACCAAATATTTACTATATAAGATAAATTTATAAGTGCTGTATTAATTTTCTATATATTCCATTTTCTAAACAGACATTTTATATTGAAACATTACTATATCTGTTGATAATTAAAACAAATCGACACAAAAGAATGAATAAAGAATTACCAAGTGCCATTTAACTTATTTTCTGATCAATAATTATTGCGTTGAAGTTAATCTAACTTATCAGCAACGGATAAACTCATTTAAATAATTGTACTTCCTGCTTTAATAACAAAATACTATTGTTTTGAACTTTATCTGTGTTTCTAATTAAGAAGATTTGTCTTTTGATTAAATAAATATCCTTTATTACTATAATTTAATAAAATAAAATTAAGTGTATAATTCTTTAGCTATCTTCTGAGAAATTCACATAGTATCAAAATTAAATATTTATACGCAGTTCATTGCTGCCATAAAAATATTGCTAACAATCGAGATTAAAGTAATTACATTTCTAGTTTTTTTATCTTCATTATTTACACTTTTCAACTTTGATATTTAATTTATTAAAATGCTTTCCCTGTTAAATTCTGTATTAATTCTACACAATGGGTGGTGCCTAAAAGTTCTAGTTTTTTGAACGAATTGTATATTCATGTTTTCAGACAATATCTACTTAGTTATAATGAAAATATACATATATACGAATAAACAAAGGTACTAAAACTGTCTTGTTTTCATTTTTTCCATAAACGATAACATAGATTTAGGTTAAAAATTATAAGGCATTTTTAGTTGAAGTATTATACTTAAAAACTAACAAAGAAGGAAGTTTTTATTATTTGTCCGTTTTTCAAGTGTATTATAATAAAAATTCCTTCTTTGTTAATAATACAAAACAATAGAGAAAATGGATATTTATGTGGCTTTAAATAGCTTAAATTTTTGGTAGTAATAATAATATATCTACTTTAAATCGTATCGACATTCTACCTAAACCTTGTAATAACCTTGACCGATATACGGCGATCAAAATATAATCTGTTACTAATTTAACTCTTTAAACGCTTTTTTACAATGCAATTAATTGGGAATTTTTATCGATAAGGATAAAGAACGATCCATACTTACGTTCCAATCCAGATAAGGCTCTAACCTTATGGTTTCGGCTCTAGCATCGTCGTCATACAAGCTATCTTCATCAAAAGCAGCGCTGGGATTCTCCATAACACTTGAGTACGCCGTTTTGTTAAAGAGTTTTCGGCGGGGGACGCGTTTAGCGACCCCCAACGACTATAAACGTAAGCAACGATCACACTATATCCACCGACGCTTCTCAGTGTTGTTAAAGCCATTCTAGGCTAGACGCCATATTGTTACTTAAGCAGAAAGCAAATAAACTCTTCCTCTCTCTTTTTTTTATTTGTCTCGTATAACTCGATCAGAAATTTCTACAATCGAAATGTTGTCAGTTTGATATACTTAATACCCAGATATAACTGAGAAGGGAATTTTGTTGGGGATATTCTATCGTTGTCCGTGTTTCTTCAGTCGATCGGGCGCCTGTTTGGTGGCGCGCGCAACTAAACCACCCAAAATTCGATCGTTTCTGTGCATAACCTTCACCAATGGTAGTGTTTTTTATATTTGTATTTTTATGAAATTAAAATGAAACGACGCGTTTAATTTTCGTTCTCTAATGTCAATTATTTCGAATTAATTGAAAATTTAAAATAATTCGGTTAATTTTTATAAAACTAAATACGCTAATAAAAAATAATACAAATACAATAAGAAATAAATGTTTTAAGTATATATTTTTTAAAATCTTTCCCTGGAAAAAACCAGTTTCTTTTTCGGCTCGTAAGCATTTAATTACCATCATTTTTGATGCAATTCATTAATTTTAATTAAGATATTAGGATTTAAAAATGATAATTAAAACACTTTTAAATTAGTATTTTCCTAAATCAAAGGGAAATCTTCGATCATTGCATGATAAACCTTATTATTATTATTATTAAATACAAAATAAATAACAATTTAGCTTGCTTTAAAGGATGTTTTAAAATTAAATGCACAGTAACCTAACTGTCTGAAGATTAATTTGCTACGTTGTTAAATAGCGATAACGTAATCCTGTGACATGTATGCATTAATTTTAAAAATAAAAAAAAGCGTTAAACATTAAGGAATTAAAAATTAACCTATTTAAATTTACATAAATTTTAAAATATTATAAATATTATTTTCGGCAAGAATTCACAAATTCTCGACGTGATAAAGTAGAGACGTGACGTAAAAGATGCTGGACTGTTTCTATGGTAACGGTCGAGGTAAATAAACTCTTTCAATGGCAAATAATAGTAACCAATCAGAATGTAATTGCTGCAGATTGCATTTTAATAGTCTGTAAAATAAATTTCTTTTTGAAATTCTAAATATAATATTGCATATTTAAACTATTTTTCGAATTTTAAAATATAAATTTAAACTAAAATTTGCAAGTGTCGAAAGTGACAAAGCGACCAGGTGTAAGGTCAATATTTCGAGCCATTCGTAATTCTGATGCGGCAGGTAAAACTGTGAAAAAGTAGAAAACTTTAATACGTTATAATGATGTAATTCTTTGATTAAAACGAACCAAATATTTACTATATAAGATAAATTTATAAGTGCTGTATTAATTTTCTATATATTCCATTTTCTAAACAGACATTTTATATTGAAACATTACTATATCTGTTGATAATTAAAACAAATCGACACAAAAGAATGAATAAAGAATTACCAAGTGCCATTTAACTTATTTTCTGATCAATAATTATTGCGTTGAAGTTAATCTAACTTATCAGCAACGGATAAACTCATTTAAATAATTGTACTTCCTGCTTTAATAACAAAATACTATTGTTTTGAACTTTATCTGTGTTTCTAATTAAGAAGATTTGTCTTTTGATTAAATAAATATCCTTTATTACTATAATTTAATAAAATAAAATTAAGTGTATAATTCTTTAGCTATCTTCTGAGAAATTCACATAGTCTGATAGATACATACACACACACACATATAGTATAAGTGTGTGTATTGAATATTTATTGATTTATATACAGTATAATTATAACTAATCATAGTAGGTTTTGTAACATAAGTGGAGTTTTTGCTGACTCATTTACGCCCTTAATTCCATAGAAATAAGCAAATAAACATGTGGATATAAATTTTACAGGCAAACATCCAAGTACTTACTATGTTAATTATTCATTTAAAAATGAATTTTTACTGTATTAAATTTTAAAAACTGTTTTAAATGAATAAGATGGAATTATGAAATATCTAATCTTATAGGTCTACATAAAAATTTAATTTAATAATAATTAAAATTTAAAAATAGGTTCACTATGGGTCTAATTCTTGAATTTTAGTTGGTAAAAACTAACTAAAATTTATTTATTTATTTTAAATGTTAAAACTCATTTAAAATAAATATATAAAAAATGATCATTTATATTGACTTTAAGTTTAATAAACATATTTTTAATATTTAAATTCACTCCAATTTTTTAAATAATAAATAAAATAAAACGTCTTAACTTTTATATAATTAAATTCATTCTGAATAAATAATTTTATTTAATTTATTAACTCTAATTTAATTAATTATACTAAATTATAATTTAAGATCTAAAATTCAAATTAAAAAACAAAGAAACAAAGTTTTAAATTAGACCAGAAATATTTCTGAATATTCGGCGATAAAATCATCCTTTATTCTTATTATGTCTGCTCTTCTAGACAAATTTTAATGACTCATAAAAACTATACTCACACTACTTGAGCGATTTAAATTCCAGTTTAAGTTAGATAACGATAAAATAGTACGAAAGGATTTTTCTTTATTCTTTTCGATAACCATTCTTCCAAATCCAAACAGGTAAAGAACAAAGCCTAAAATCAGACTGCCAGTAATAGAGACCT